GCCATCCTGACCTAAAGGAAGGGTGAGCGTATGTGTAAATGAACATGATCCTAAAACATCTGTGTGTAAGAAATAATAGCAAAATACTTTATTACATCAATTCTGGATACCAGCTGCTGTCTGTTAATTGCCCTCTGTAGGCTGAGGCAATGTTGGGCCAAGGCTCATGCCAGTTCCTCCCTCCTTTCTCATTCTGCTGCTGCTAACTTTTGGGAAGGAGACCAAAAGTTACAGCCAGGCTGTCCCCATCCCAACCTACACAGGCTTCTCTAATAAAATATTTATTGAACACCTACTATTTACCAGACACTGGACTAAGCACAATAGTTACAGGGATGAAAATTTAGGCATGCTTCCTACAATCATACATTATTACTGGAGACAGGAAAGAAATAAAGGAAAAGTGCAGGAGATGAGGCTCAGAAATTGCTCCTGGTAAGGTTTGTTTATTCATTTCATATTGAATACCTGTACTATGTTTAATCCTAGGGACTAGAGATAAAAGATAAGCAAGACAGAGGCCTGCTGACAGAAAGGGACAAGTGCCCTGGATGACAAAAGAAAACTTTCGGGTTGAGAAGCTAGGTGATGTGAGAACAGAGAGGATGCAAGGGAGCTCCAACATTTCCAGGCTTAGGAAACAAAAAATCCTAACCTGTGGGAAGGGAGAGGAGTGCCTTCCCCACATTAAACTAAAAGCATTTTCAATTCCGTTTAAAACTTTCTTGGTTTCTTAATATCACAGCTTCAAAATGATCTAGTTTATTATTAGAAAGGCCTTTCTTGATATGTTACAAAACAAAATTATAAGTATTGAATGAAAGCACACAACTTAATTCAGGAAAGTAAAAACAAATTAGATGCCAGAGAATATAGAAAGACTGAAGTTTATTTTGAGGACATAAGACTACTTCATCTCTGAATCCTCAGGCCAACTACAATACCTGGCACATTATCAATAAACAAATCAATCATAAACAGAATGGAGTACTACAGTTAAGGGGCCACAGGACTGGATTAACAACTGAAAAATTAAATATGAACTAATAGCCATTATGTAATTAGTATTGCTGAAATCCCATGGGCTGTTTGTTAACACCATGCATTTAGAACTGATTGTACAGATTTGCTTTTTCCTTCCTAAGAAAGGTCATGAATAAAGCTAGAAAATATCTGCACTTTGATTATTTATATGTCCAACACAAAACCAAACTAGCAGAAGAAAGATTGGGTAGCTCAGAAGAAGGCAAGCTTCCTCAGAGCTCAGGAACGAGCTGCTAAGAGCTAAAAAACCAACCACAATTTTTTATGATGATTTTTCATATAAAGACAATAATAAACTTATTGGCCAAGCTAAAAAAAAAAAAAAAGATTATGGGTCCTTTTACTACTAAAATTTTTAATATTTTCGATTCCTAACAACTGAAATCTCTGGGTCACATGGATTTTGTGGTTGATTTTCACAAAAATATGTAGGGGAGGAGAAAATTTGCAGTGGTAAAGACAGCACTATAATAACCATTTTTCAAAGTCTGTTCATTTAAACATAGAGTCGTCACAGTTAAAAAAGAAAAACCCTTATAACTATCCAAAAGAACTATATTAAGCCAATAGTTTTCCTAATGAATAACCTCTAAGTGGAAATTTATTTTACAAAAATAAATAAAAAGGCTTTTGTTCACATCTTAAAACATTGTTTAGCTATTTTAAAATGTGTAGCAATAGATAAGTAAAAATAAAGTCCTTTCTACACTTACCATGTTGGCATTTCAAAATCAGAATTATACACTAATTTACTATAAGAAATATTTACTACAAGAAAAATTTGTTCTCCAACTACTCTCAGATAACTCAAACCAGTATCAGCCAAATATTGCTTGTATCAGTTAAAGTGACTATGTCTGCTACACAGTGATGTTCATTCATAGATCATAAGTCAAAACAATATACTGGAAAATAAGGACTTGGCAGTTCTCCTTTCTAGTCCAACCAATGGCATACAAATGACTTTCAGTAAATTCCTTAATCTCTGCCTAAGAGATTAGAAAATGAAGCTACTCAAAAACTGACCATGGATATATATTCTCATATCTGTGTCCACTTTGTCAACTCCATTGCATTTTAAGTGGATAGGATTTAGTTAGTACATGTGTGTGTCTGGACAAAAGTTTCTTTTTAAAATAAGTTCCCAGAGAAACATTTCTATATGAAATCGTAACTAGTCATCTTAAATTACCCAAATCAACATCACCAAGTAAATAATTCTCTAAGTAAATAATCAAAAGTTGAGTCTCACCTTGCCTATTCCCAGACTCCAAGTGGTATGATACTCCAGATATATATCTTAGTCCTCATAGAGTCCTTTTTTTAAATTTTGGTTTTGTTTATGACATAGTTCATTACTGAACACCAACAATGTACCAGACCCTGTTCTAGGTCCTAGAAAATCAAAGGAAAGAGATTCTGGTCTCATGAAAAAGAAAATTTCAGACAGTGTTAAGCTAATAAAACAGGGTAATATGATACAGTGACTGGGGGGCTACATTGTTATAAAAAGGATTAATGGAATAAAAACCAGGAATTAATCATATAGAAAGATTGGAGGAAAAGAAGTGAAGACATAATCATCACACATGTCTTTTATTTTCTATCGAGTTCTCTTTGTTCCAGAGGCTTCTAAGGTATGGCTATAGTAAAATGATTTAATAGTTTTGTCAAGTATTCCATGTAATTTAAAAAGTTTAAATTTTAAATGTTTTTATTGATTTGAGAGATCAGATGCCTCTTGTACACATTCCAACTGGGGACTGAATCTGCAACCTAGGTATGTGCCCTGACTGGGAATTGAATTAGTGGCCTCTCAGACAACGCCCAACCAACTGAGCTACACTGGCCAGGGCTAGAGCAACACTATTTTTAAAAGCATAACGGTACTACTCCAGAATCTGCTTAACTCTATTATTGTCACCCCAAATATTTTCTGAAACTTACACATAAAATGTTTCTACTAAAAATGTGCTAAAAGGAAAATGGTCAAGGATATTAAAATATCCTATATGAGGAAGTGACCTGCATGAAATAACATAATTATAAAATTCAAAAATCTATATCTGATTTTGGTGAACCAGAAACCTTATCACTAAATACAATCACACAATTTTCATTTGACCATGATTCCACTAAGTTACACACCATTTTTGGTTGCTTTGTCAATCTTATTTTTTCCTAACTAAACCACATTACTATTGAACTGCCTGTATCAATATAAAACTTAATAATAAAACAGCCTATTTCACCCTATTTTCCTTATCTATTTGGCTTAACCTCAACTTTCTTCACTTAATTCTTGACCACACCCATCAAGAACAGACGTGATGTTACCACTTGAAGAAAATTTACAGTCCCTTACCTCAAGGTACTGTCTCACACTGAAAATTACTACAAACTAAGTAACACATCAGTCATCTTGTTCTATTCACTATGAAATCTAGTAAACTAACAAGTTCACCCACATATTTTCCTACCTCTTTCCCCAACACACTTAAATTGTAAAACTAGAGGCCCGGTGCATGAATTTGTGCATGGGTGGGGTCCCACGACCTGGCTGGCAATTGGGGTGGATAGGGGCCGGCTGGCCGGGGGGAGGGATCATGGGAGGTTGGCTGTGGGAGCACACTGACCACCAGGGGGCAGCTCCTGCATTGAGCGTCTGCCCCCTGGTGGTCAGTGTCATCATAGCAACCTGTCGTTCGGTTGACCGGTTGTAAAGGTTACCTAGGCTTTTATATATATAGATAGATGTTTTCTCAGTTTTTTTTTAGTTTGGTTCTTAAAACTTTGAAAATGTTCAAATTTTACTTTCTTTTCCCCTGTAGTCTTCATTCCCCATAGCAAGATATAAAAAGAATAAATTATATGTAGTTTTTAAAGTACTAAGCAACTGATCATAATATCTAAAATAATATATACTAAGTTTATCTTTCCTATAAAGACCAGGTTTTTTTTGTTGTTTCATCAGGTTTTGCACTTTAGTGTTTTAGGTTCAACTGTTTTCAACATTTCATTTTAAAATAAGCAATAAGTCAGAACGTAAGTAACTTCATACCATAAATTCAAAATGTACATTATCACCTATTTGCTTAATCAGAAGACTAAGTGTTGGTGAAGCTGTAGCCTTCATGCTGTTGTTATAACAACAGTGTAAGCAAATTTGGACTGGAAAATTAACTTCATGTTTATACTTGTACCAGCACGAATTCTCTTACCAACTGAGAAACGCCCACATAACCCATGCAAACATTCTGATCATGCATTAGTTAACTTTCAACTTTTAAGTTCTATGAAAGTGAGTTTGAGCCAACTGAGTTTATTTCTTTATCCATTAAATGTGCAACTAACGATTAGTTCATTTTGCATGTTAGTTTTCTATATTAAAAAGTCATTTGTGCCTAACCGGTTTGGCTCAGTGGATAGAGCATCGGCCTGTGGACTCAAGGGTCCCAGGTTCGATTCTGGTCAAGGGCATGTACCTTGGTTGCAGACACATCCCCAGTGGGAAGTGTGCAGGAGGCAGCTGATCGATGTTTCTCTCTCATCGATGTTTCTAACTCTCTATCCCTCTCCCTTCCTCTCTGTAAAAAATCAATAAAATATATTTTTTTAAAAAGAGTCATTTATTATCACCTATATGCCTGTTACAGTTCTAAACATCATACTCTATCATGCCTGATATAAACCCCACTGTTATGACACTGCCACTGAATAAAGCTCTAGGCACACTCTAGCACGTCTAATTTGGATCCCTGTAACTCCAGAAAATAGTCATTTTCATCTCTATTTGAGAGATAAGAATTCTGAGCGTCAGAGGTAAAAGGTACAGTGGGGACAGGAACTCAGATTTCCTTGGCTCTTGGCCTACACTCCACTGACCACTGAGTTAAAAAAAAAAGATGTTTAATTAAATGGCTTATGGCAAATAGAACAACTGTCAGGGTGAAGGTCAGTTAGAGCAAAGCAAATCTCTCTTAAAAAAACAAAACCATACTTTCCAAATGGTAACAAGGTTGCAACAATTAATTATATAGGCATAGCATAATTTTTATAAACATTTTCTAAAACAAAGTAGTTCTAAATAAAATTTGAACGAAAAAAATATATTTTAAAATGCATACAACACTCTCTCCGTTGCAATACAAACCATTGCATGGTACACTTTAAATGGGTGAATTGTATGGTATGTGATTTATTTCTCAATAAAACTTATTTTTAAAAAACTTTCTGGAGAACAAATTGAAAATGTGTGTCAAAAGCTTCTGAAATGTTCATTTTTTAAAATATATTTTTATTGATTTCAGAGAGGGAGGAGACAGACACATCAATGATGAGAGAATCAACCACTGAGCTACACTGGCCAGGCTGAAATGTTCATATTTCTAAAGTAATTTTACTTCCAGGAATTGACTATAATAAAATATCAGTCATACAGTGTTTTTTTTTAATGTATAAATATGTCTCAAATTATAATATCCCCAAGTTCTGACCTGCTTAAAATACCATCAACAGAAGGGTAAACATTCTTTACAATGAAATGTTAACAATTTTTAAAACTACATTCTCAAAATATTATTTCACAATAAAGCATGTTACAAAATAATACAAATGTACAATTCCAATTTGTAAAGAAAATACATATACTGTAGAGATAAAAAAACATGAAGAATATAGAACAAAGTGTTAATAGTAGTTACTTCCAGTTGGTAAGATTTTAGGCAATTTTAAATGGTTTTCAATTTCCCTACAATAAACCATCCTTTCATAACTTAAACATAACAAATGTTATTTTTAAACTACTGGCCACTTTGGAAAGTGCAAATTTTCCATTAAAAGATAAAAATTAAAAGGGCTATCACATTTCTTAGGGATATTATGTATGTGTGTGCATGTATGTATATGTTTGCAATACCTTACCCTTAACTAACAATATTTCAGTCACCCAAAAAAATTTTTCTATTTTTTAAAATATGCTTTTATTTCACAGATAAGAAGGGAGAGGGAGAGCGAGAGAGACAGAAACATCGAAGAGAGAGAAACATTGACCAGCTGCCTACTGTACACCTCGTATTGGGGATTGAGCCTGCAACCCTGGCATGTGCCCTGACCAGCAATCAAACCAGTGACCTCCTGGTGCATGGAACTACGCTCAACTGAGCCATACCAGTGGGGCAAAAAAATGTATTCTAATGACTAATGCATAATTGTGCAGGTGATAACAATACAGAAACCCTACGGTAACTTTTTCAGACACAAAGTAAACTACCTAATTTAGATTTAAAAAATAAGTATATCAATTCATGTTAGCTTCCACTTTTAGGAAAACTCAACATCTTTTCAGGGGGAAATTAGTAAGGCATATCTTTAACCGTCAGAATAAAAAAAAAGAATACCATTCTATCGCATTACAGAAAGGAATTCAAGTTTACAGTAAAGCACAGCAATAAGTTTCTCACCACAATCAAACATGAAATACTACATCCTAAAGTATCAGGATCCTGCAGAAATCATAAACACGAAGATAGCTTAAACTTACAAAATTATAATAACCAAATAAAGGCTTTAAATTTATGTATGTAGAAGTGTTATAAAAACGTCTTCCTCAAAGTCCACACTGCAGTTTTATGCAAATAGACTGTATTTGGAAGGGGGGGGGAGACGGCAGGGGGGCACGAACTGGCAACTTTTTCTATCAAAATCCTCAAAAGTCAACATTTACCTTTTCCAAACATATTTAAAAAAATAGTCTAGGAAACCCAATCAATAAGTTTCTTCAGTTTCAAAAGAAATGTGGTTCACCTAGCCAAAATAGAGAAAAGGTAAGAATCTAGCAGAGGCACCAAGGATGAAGAGTCAAACATAGATTGTCACTACTGATTACTTAATGTGAAAGCAAGAAAGTCAAACTTGTTTTTATAAAATAAGAAACAAATTAGGAGGTTATTAGTAGTACTAGTGACCCCTTGTGCGAAATCGCACGAAACCCCGAACCCCCCTCACCCTCCTTGCTGGCACGCCACGGGATGGCCCCCGTGTCCTGGAGTGCTGCCCCGATGCCCTGCCTCTGGGTTGTGCAGAGCAGCCGCCAGGCCCCGCCCCCGTGGCACGCATGCGGGGCCGCAAAAACCCTGGCAGAAGCCGCGCAAAGTGGCTGCCAGGACCCCCCCACCCCCCGCGGGCAGATCTGCCACCAGCCCTGCCCCCGCCTCCGCTGTGCGTGCTGCCATCTTGTCAGTGTTACGGTGTGGGGGTCAATTTGCATATTACCTAATTATTATATAGGACTAGAGGCCTGATGCACGGATTCATGCACTGGTGGGGTTCCTCGGTCTGGCCTGTGGGGATTGGGCTGAAACTGGCTCTCTGACATCCCCTGAGGGGTCCCTGAT